GCAGCAGCCGCGGCAGGTGGGCGACCTCGGCCCAGGCGGAGACGGCGGGGCCCAAGCAGAAGGGAGCCGGGGCTGCCCAGGCCTCTTCCCCCGCCACCGCCTCCCCCAGGGGGGGCAGCAAGAGGAAGGGAGGCAGCGGCAGCAGCAGCACCCCTGGTGGGGGAGGCAGCAGCGGTAAGGGTAGGGGCAGGGCTGGGGCTGGAGGAGCAGGGGGAGGAGGCGGAGGAGGCAGCTGCAACAGCCAAGGCAGGGCTGCCTCGTCCAGGAGGAGCATCAGCAAAGTGGTGTACGATGATCATGAGAGTGAAGAGGAGGAGGAGAGCATGGTGTCCGAGGAGGAAGAGGAGGGAGACCCCGAGGATAACCAGGACTCCGAGGAGGAAGAGGAGGAGGAGATAATGGAGGAGGAGGACGACGACGACTCTGACTACCCCGAAGAGATGGAGGATGAAGACGATGCCAGTTATTGCACTGAGAGCAGCTTCAGGAGCCACAGCACCTACAGCAGCACCCCAGGTAGAGAGTCAGTGGGATGAACTAAAACAAGTCGAGGGCACCCCACATGCTCCCTCTAGGTTTGCAAATACAGTCCGCACGCATTCTTCCTCCCATGCGTGTATGTAAGGGATGCCTGCAAGCACTCACAGGGAGAGGGGTATGCAAATTAACGACTGGCAACCCCACGGATGCAGGGAACATTAGAAGATGCTTACAAGCACATGCACTGAGAGGAGGGAGGGCGGGAGGGCAGTACATGCTGCAACAAGGGGATGCTTTGCAAATATGCATGGAGATTCTGGTGACTGCAGAAATGCATGATACACCAGAACGTGTTGCAAAGAATGTCAGAAGTGTATGGAGCGTTCACTTAATATTTAAAAACAAGGGAAACGAGATGCATGCCTTGCAAAGAGATCCTTTCAAATATATACAGGAAAGAATGGCTTGTGCTTGCAAATATAACTTGATGTTAAAAGGAAAGGAAGCACATGCAACTTGAAGTGGCCTAAAAAAAAAACCAACAACCATAAACACTGAAAATTTTCAGGCTTTTGAAATCAGAGGTATAACTGGATCCAGCATTTACTGGCTTTAAGGCAAAACTAGCTTTCCAAGGAGGGAAATGAGGTGCATTGTTCAAAATGGAGATTGCATTGTTAGAGTTTGGGGAAAAGTGCACAGGGCCTCATTGCAAGGGTGTAAACCTAGTTTTAGTTAAACACAAAAATTAAAAGATGGAGGCTGAGTCAAAAGTCTTGGTTTTAAATACTGCATTTATGTTCAGATATGGCAACCTTTAAAAATCATGTTGAGGTTAAAACTCGTTAAACATCATTGTAATTTTTTTTTTTTAATCTCCAGTGACAAATTTGGGCTCAATTTTTGGAGGCCTGCACTTCTGTTTGCTTTTAATTAGTTCATTAACCATGTGGGTTTTAAACTTCAGAAATTTTTATCTAAACTTAAGCGCTTTGAATTTATATGAACTAATTCCAGAATGAGGGTCAAGCTTCAGATTTTTATATTTTTTAAAAGTGTCTGAACCAGGAGAGTTGTTAAACTTAGGGATAACCTAGGAGGGTTTCTGAACTGGGCTACAGGATAACAGACACTGCTGTTGTGCAAGTATTTGGCCAGTTTGGAAGGAGGAACAGGTTGTTGGTGTAAATGCATTGCATCTTAATTAAAAAAGGAGTGTAACTTTGAGTAGTTAGCTGATGACTTCTTAAAAGGGGGAAGTACTGGCTACTAAATGTGTCATTTGTTTTTATTTTGGTGAGTTAATGGTATCAGCTCATTGTGTGACTTAATAATAATCCTTTAAAAAGTTCTTTATACCTCTATATTTTAACCTATATGCTCAGGAACTTAAATGAATCAAAATAAGTACATACATTACTAAATTAGTTTAATTTAAATTTAGGGGGTTTTGTTAAGTGTTGGTTTACCTGTTGCAGGGATGTCCTGCAATCCAATTGAAATTTTTGAATATTTATTAAAGATTGAGGTCTGGCTTCATAGAAGAAAAAAAATGAAGTACTCTTGACTTTTAACTCTCCATTTTCTGTTTAGCTGTGGTAACTTTAATTTTTATTACTATTTTGGGGGCTGCTTTCGTCAGGTAAAGAATATTTTTATTATTTTAAGTTACTAATTCAGGAAAATATTTTTTTGCATGATCATCCAGGTTTAAAATGAACTCTACAGACTATGGGTGTATTCAATTTTTGAAACGTACTTAAGTGTTTTGGCAATTAACGAGATACCTCGGTGTGCATTGTTGTGCAAGCGTAGACAGGTTTTATGTGCTATTTAGGTGTATCACAAACCATTTTGGTAATTCATATGTTTATTTCTCACTTGGTGAGGGTAACTTCAGTTAACTTTTTATAAGATAAATTGAAGTGTAAGCATTTTCATCTTTATGGGCTTTTTTGTTTTGTTTTATACCGAGTGCTTGATAGTTAAAACATCTGTGTTGTTATTTTGGCAGTTTACTGGCAGTTCTCATTACTTCAGTATTTGCCTAAAGGTCTTCCTCCCTCCTTCCCTCTCCCCCAGACATGCTGTTGCCCTTTTGCAAAGAAAGTACGAACTTCTCATTTGATCAGCTCAGTCTGAGTCTTGTTTCTGAACTAATATGTAGGCACTGCTACACAGCGGTGGCACTCACTGAAATCATAGTCTTATCATAATGTGGGAAAAGATAGTTGACATTAGAACAGCATTAATAGGCAAGGAAAAGATTCACCTAACCTCAGTATCTCTTTATCTGACAGCAGCCAGTGCAGAGTGTTAAGAGTAGGGCAAGCATACAGTGATACCTCTTCAGAGTTCCTTCATGGGCTCCAGTGCTCTTTGCCTCAGGTGCATGCTGTGCCAGAACTGGTCTTTAGCTGTGTTTAATAGTTGGGTTTTTTCCTTCATATATTTGTCTTCAAACCAGACAAATTGCAGTGCATAGTGACAAAGTTCTTGTGGTTAACTGGAGGGCTTGAAGGAGTGTCTCCTCCATTGTTTTGAACTGGCCCCTGACAGAGTCAAGCGGTGCCCACTGAGTTCTTTCTGCTAGAAGAGATGATGAAGGATTGTTTTCTACTTACCTTCCCTCAGTCACGTGCAGCCTGAGTTGCTGCCACTTTCAGGATGTAGTCTTGGGGGCTGAAGAGTTTATTTTTTGAGAGCAGGGTATTGAAAAATTGCAATCCCAATCAAACTCTCCTACCAGCCAAAATTTTACACATAAATCACATCCCACTTAAATAGGTGACAGACTTTCTACAGGTTTTTTCAAAAGATCACAGTGCATTGTCTCCAGCCAAGAAAGGTTCAATTTCTGTGCCCTGCTGGGGAGTTTATGATGAATGTATCCTGAACTTGTATGTAGGAGTTTTTTACTATATTCAAGTATTTAAATAAGCAAAATCTTAGGAATGGCAAAATGGTTTCAATAACGTGCTTAAAAATGATACAGTGGAAGCTTATTGTGTGAATGCATATGATTTTTGTTATTGCTGTTTCTTCTGCTGGATGGACTTCTGGCAAGGGGATTTTGTGTGTCCCTTCTTTCTTATCCCTTTGTATCCCCTGAAGGTAGGTGTACTTTTAGAACAGGTATCTTATATATCTGACATCACTACACATTTTTGTCATTACCTGTCCACTGTAAATTCTGTTTTAGGCTTGTCATAATTGAATTACAGATATCAAGTGTTTTCCATATGTTGAGGAATTTTAAAAGAATGATTTAACCAAGAAGCATAGAAGTCCTTCATTTTCTCTGTTTCTTGTTTTTCTTTGTCAAAAATTTGGAAAAGTAGCTTTAGAAAGAGCTATATATCTAGATTTTGGCTGAGATAATCATCATCAGTCTGTCTAACAAGCAAATGCACAACAGTGAAGTGATAAGCCAAAAGGTTTGTCTTAAAATACATTAAATGAAAATTTTAAATGGATTTTGCTAGTCTGTGAGCATTTAGAGTGATTGACCATCACTTCTATTAAGCAGCTACTTCACCAGTGTACATCTTCAAAGTGAAAGAAATCTCTTTCTTTCACATCTTCAGATTGAAAGAAATTAATTGGAAATGAGGTGCTGCATTTTGTGTGTCTGTAATAATTTTATATCTTAACACGTTTTCATGCGCTTGAAGAACTGTTTAAGTGGAGATATTGAGATATGACAGTAAGATAGGCAGCCTCTTTTGTCTGTCATGTGAGAAGATTTACCAGCCTCCCAAACACCTTACCTAGGGTACCCTGTTCTCTAAATTAAATCTGGCATGCTCTTATTTTACCATTTAGTATCTAAACTTTGGCTTGTACTCTAGAGGAACTATCACTAGTTTATCATGGCAGTCGTGAAAAATACAGAAGACAAGTCCTAGCAAAGAAACTGTCTAGAAGGCCAGAGGAGTAAATCTGGCTGAATCTGTTGTACTGACATGCAAATTTGCAATTTATCTGAAGAGAGCATTTGTCATTTCAGTCATCTAAGAAGGTCTGTGCAGCGAATACCTTCCTGTTATCAAAGTATGTACATTGTAAAAGGTAGAATAATTTGATGTACTGTAGATGAGTTTATTGTGCAAACTTTTTTGGTAGGTCTGCAGTAAAATTCCATAGCTGACCATTCTATTGCATAAAACTAGTGTAAGGTGAATAAATGTGGATTTCAGTAGACTGGGACTGGCTCTCAGGGCTCACTAACTTCTGAAATTAGTTACAACTTAGATTGAGTGTGTCCCACCTAAGAAATTGTCTGTCAGAATGTGCCTGAAAGTAGTTGTTAGTGCTACCTTTGGGGTTTGTTGGTTTTTTTTCTGCATGAGTTCTAGGCACAAAAGGGTTGTCCCTCTGAGTAATTCTCAGAATGACAGTGTGGGATCTCATCTTCTATTTGTCTTGCATTAGTTATCCAAATATTAAAATGATACCTTAGAATATAGGAGGCTTGTATTCCTGACTCCTACTGAGAGTGTATTGATAGTCTTAATAATGAGAAATTAAATTCTTAGTGTAAAATCAGCAGAGAATCCTAGTTTGATTAGAAGTGTACTACTGACAGATGGACAAACTGAGAAAATAAACAGCTGAAAGTTTTAAACTTTTCAAAGAACATAAAGACCTAGTTTTGCTCAACACAAGGCAGTAGTTAAGTCTTAACTTAGGAGCACGCGTTGAGAATTTCTGGGATATGAGTGCTCTCAGGAAGGTATTTTCAGGTCCTAGTCTAGTAATTGGTTATTTTTTCATTTGTGCTCAAGTTCCAAAGCTTTTGTGGTGGTTGGAGTGTCTTTTTTAATGTAGGCTTAGATGTTAAGTTTCATCTGGTTTGTGGTGTTTGGTTTTTGTTTTGTTTTGTTTTTTTTCCTTTTTCCAGGTAGATAAATAAATTTCAGTTAGGTACAATTGTGGCAGAACAATATTCAGAATGGAGCTGCACTTACAAGTAGTTACAAATGCATCTTATTCTTCCAGAATTTTTTTCTGGAAGAGATTATTTGACTTGAGAA